GCTCTATATAAGTAATACTGTGTGAAGGAAAAACTAAAACGAGACTGAAGCTCATGAGAAAGCACTAAGTCAAAGCGAGGCTTATATGCGGATATCGTAAGTGAGAGTTTTCAGGCTGACATGGCCGTGAATTGATTTGTGCCATTCACAGCTTAAGGCAAAGTTCTTTACATGCTTACATTGACAGAAAGCTGAATAAATTTTCCACAACTTGTAGTAATTTCAAGTTGTGCGGAGGCCTCTATAGGTACAAAAATCAAAATCAAAAACGAACTTCCGTAATAGCTTTAATAAAATTTCGATTTCAAACTCATTTTTCAACATTAAATATGCTGTAGATCAACTTTTGGGTCATCTCACATTATTCGAAATTTATTTCTCAATATGACAATGTACATATTGTAACCCCAAGTACGTTAATAGCCGAGATAATACACCGTTTATGACACCCTATAAATCTCAAAAAATATTGCCCAATTCAAATTCTCGAACTTCCGGTTTGTTTAATAGCCACCTAGCGGCAGACCAGTGGCTCCCGGGCTGTATGCCCTCCGTGATATATAATAATAATAATTATATTTATTTAGGATCCAATATCCATAAAATGTCCAATGCAACATGAAAAACATACTCTAAGACAAAAATTATACATAACCATTAGGTAATCAAAAAGAGAGGTTTAATAAATATATTTTTTAAAATGCTGAATTCTTTTGTAAAAAAAACAACCATTTAAAAAGTATTATCATTTTCAAAGGAGAGTGCTTATCCTCCCTTAGTTAAAAGAAGAGAAGATTAAGGATTATAAGTAAATTGCAATTAATTGTGTTACATATAATATCTAATGATTTTCAAAAAACACAAGCAAAACATGTTTGAACCGTACATGTTCGAAGCTTAGGTATGGCTTACCTGGAAGAGTTCAAGTCCTTCATCAGACCTTGGATGAATATATCCCGCCAAGATTAGACTGATAACTATTTATGCCCAGTTTAAAGGTTATATACTTTAAAAAGAAATATTTAAATCCCTATTTATATTTAAAAAGGATAACTATATAACAAAACAATGTCTTTTGTTAATCAAACAATCTAAAATTAATGTAGAATGTTGTTTTAAAGATGATTTATTAATTATTTCTTAAAGTCCTCTGAATGTTTAATTTTCCTCAGTTATTTCAGTAATTTATATCTCCCAGTAGGGGGTGCTCTTTTCATTTTATATCAACACAAGTCTCGTTTAGTTGATCATCTGAATGAAGTTGACGAGTTGTACAATGCGCAACAACCATAATTCTCCTGTTGCAGAAATACCTTACCGTGATGGTTCTATACTCTTGCTTCATCTTTAATTATGTTGCCTAGCTTCAATTGTTAAACCATTATCTTGTCCTGGTAGAGATGTTGGCATTGTTTGGACAGACTCACACGTTATTCGGTAGCTGACAACAGACGCCGAGTTTCGCACCCTGCTTGGTCGATTTTTAAACCGGACAAAATTTGGACAACAGAATCTGAAAAGTTTTTTACAGTTTTTGTAAAGTCTACGATATCCGTCTCGTACAGCAGATAACCTCACGCCGTAGATGAAAGGATCAAGGATAGAACTTACGGCAAACAAGGTGTGAGTTAGGTAAAGATGGTTCCAGCAGGGAGGTATTGTCGGGTCACAAATGACAGACACAATCGGGTATGGAATCCAACAAACTAGCAGTACACCAAATAGTTGGGTAGCTGTTCCAGTTAGTTTAATGTTCCTGGTCAAGAGAAGCTCGCTGTTTCCATGTTCCAACCTTTGAAGCCTGTGAGTAAGCATAAATAGTTTAATGTATGTTGGGATTATTATGACAGACGAGATACCAACGACGGAGGCCAACAATATGGCGTCCGTGTCAAGCTGGAACTCAACGTGTAACACTATATGTGTTTGACAGATGCAGGAGAGTGTCAACACCCGACTGTGCACCATCGTTTGGAAATACTTTGCGAAGCCAAGAGTGATCGAAATCGCCCAAATCATTACCGTCACCAACCACAGTGGGCATTTCGTCATGATAGTTGGATAGGTAAACGGCAGAAATACTGTGATTCCTTTATACAAAACTATCGCCACGAGAGTGAAAACTTCAGCAAATATAGCACTCAGAAACACATAATGAGTTAAATGTTGAATACACGGCGTCACCAAACCATCTGCGTCCAAACTGACTAGTTCAAAATCTTCAAGTGCATTTAGAATTAGCGCTGCTATAAGGACAATGATATCGGCACTGCAAAGGTTCGTTAGTAGAACCAAAAAAGGATCCCTTTTTTGTAAAACATGGATCAAAGCTGCCAAAGAAACAATGTTTTCAATTATGCCAAAAGAAAGCAGACCTGATGCTATCATCGTATATCTGGGAGCATTAAAAAGGTCACTGCCGTTATGTAACCCCAGTAATGTCCAATTTGAAATATTATGCGTGGTGTCCTCATTCCACAAACACATTGTGAGGAACAGGTTGTAGTTTGTAAGTTGTAGGTTTAAACAAATCCGTTATCTACTTTATAATGAAAGTCCTGACCTTTTTCAATGATTGGAGATCCTGCCTCGCCGAATGTTGAAAGCTGCTGTAACATCTGGCGATAAACGCACAGTTTTTTTATACATGTGGATATCCCCAAAGGACCTTAGTTTATGTACCAGATGTTAACAATTTAAAAAGCCCCCTTTTGTAATCATAAAAGTATGATCAATATCCTTTTCAGATTTTATAAACGAGTCATCTGTGATGTCAACGCTTACGCGATGTTCGGAAACCATGTGGGGCAAACCATAGCCTTTGGCAAGACGCATCATTTGCTATAGAAATGGTTTATGGGTTGGAACGGAGTCAGAAAACAGCTAAAATAGGTTTATAGGTTTTTTAACAGTACAATATATGCATATTAGTACTAATCGGTGACTAATTATACTGATTATCATTAAATATACGTTTCGAGAAACCCTTTTTTTAAATTTCGGTTGATGTCAATTTTACTGTTACACGCTTTGCTTCAAATTTCATTCCTCACAATTACCAGCACTCGCGGTCATTTCACCATTAAAATACATAGTACAGGCAGTTAAAAGGCCATTGGGTTTCTATAAATGTTCTTTAAGGAATAATATGCATGGTTTGAAACGTCCTCTGTCGCAAACTTAAATGTTATTTGCATAATCTTAGGTGAACTTTAATTGTGCCAATTTATGTGCTGTTGCAGGAAAGCATAAAGATTTTCTTGTCCTTATCCTGGGTTGTCTTTTTTACCTAAATTCTTCAAATTTTAAAATTCTGATAGCGCTTTCTAAATGAATGCATGGCCACGTGGTAGTAAGTGGGTTTTACAAAGTAACTGGGTCTAGATACTAGACTGACTAGTGTAAATTTAGATTATTAATACTTTGAATAGAGATTTTTTAAAGATTCATGTCAGGGATGTTAGTTTGTCAGATTAATTTGTAGTTTTGTGTGTGAAATAAATTTTAACACTCAGTTTTGTGGTTGTGGTTAGCCAAACGGGAATTGAACTGATCCAAGTAGCCCCAAGCTCTCCAAGCCACGCGTATTTTTTATTTGCTGAATAGGAAAAATACATAAGAGTGCATGAGGCCGATTATTACACGAACTACAAAAGAACCTGGTAGTAGTAAAAAAAAACTGTTTTGAAACTGGTTTGTTATGAAACTTTTTTAAAAAGCTCATTAATTTTTAGATTAGCAAAAGTGTATTTCAGCATTACGTTAGATTGCATAGTTTGTGGCAGGCGAAATATATAGGTTTGAGGTAAACATTTATAAAAAAAGGTGTTAGACAAAAATAATGAAGTGGGTTCTTCCTTTTTCTCAATACTTCCTTAGCATTCAAATATGAATGGTATACAGGGCCGAATCCAGAGATATTTTCTGACAGTCTTCCAAATTATCTTTGTAACCATCCTCCATTTTTGACCGTCTTCCGACAGAAAAAATAGATACCTGTCAATGTAAACTTGAAAATCTGGCCGTCTTCCAGAAGACCCAGAAGACGGCCTGAATCCGCCCCTGGTATAGGTGACAATAATAAAATAACTTAAATTGAGAAAGTTCCAGATTATTATAACGTGCAAAGAAATCTGGTGTATTTATAAAGCGCCCATTACTCCTTCATCCAAATTAACACTTGGATCAAAAATCGATGACAAAGAGATTAAAAGCTACTAGTAGATGTAAAACGCATCACTGCAACTCCAAATTCTCAACTTCATAAACGTGTTAGGCAACACGCCATTGCTGTATAAAAGCAGCATTTATTTATTAAAACCCCAGGGTACTTTGAAAACCACGGATCGGCACAGACAAAGGAAAACGTTAATGGTTTCTCTGTAAAAAATGTATGCTCCGGATTTTCCAGCTAAAACTGCGCCACACACCTTTAGAAAAATTACAATAAAAGAGAATCAATTGGAGTACGGTGGGCTACAGGAAAATGGGTAAGTTAGCCTCTTCCTCTGGAGGGAGTTGTACAAGGACGTTATCTGTATACATTGTACCTGTTGCCATTATCACTGTGTCAGCTTAAGTGGAAAACAAATCACCCATGACGTATTAACCTTCATCAGAACCACCTCCCAGTGGACATCCTTTCATGTTTTCCCAAGAGTACTGAACAAAATTAATGACAAAAATGGGATTTTGCTGCAGTTTGAATTATTAATTGTTTTGAAGGTTTGAGGTTACTATTTACTGACACCACCATTAGAGATTTGATAAAATTTGATTTAGATCTGATTTTTTTTTATCAATGGTAACTACATGCAGATACAAAGAAAGCAGCTGCAATGAAGCACGATACATGTGCATAATGGCATTTTTATTTCTATATATAATATGTATCATTGTATTACTTTTTAAAACCAGTTTTCCAGTGGGCATGTGTCCAGCACTTTAATAGATTTTTGCAAGATATCAGCATAAAATTCCTCCAAGGGGGAATACATACAGTACAATCAAAGCTTAAATCTACTCCAACAAAATATCAGATTGTTTCGTGGGTTTGATGTTCAACATGAATCTCACTCACACCTGAAGCAGGCCAGCCAATTTAATAAAGACTTGTTTTAAAGTATGAGCCTTATGCCTGTAGTGTAAGTAACTGAATAGGACGCTGAACTTTCAGTTTGAAACCAAGTTCTTGGACGATTTAGTATTTGTGTCTATGTCACCACAGAGATCCTGTTTGATGCCATCAGTTTATTTGCACCTTTACTATTGTACATGCCCTGTGAGGTCAACTTGGCGGTCCTTTCCTTCGTCTTCTCCAGCTCTTCCCAGCGCTTCTCCTCTGAAGCTCTCTGTAAATAAGAAAGATTTGTCAATTTTGAACTTCAAATTTTTAATTTTTTTAAAATCAGAATATTTGGTTTACCTTTCAAGATCCCGAATGCTAAATTAGAATATTGAACAAACAGTTAAAGGACTAGATGTTTTACCACTTCATGAAATACCTAGGATGCAGCCTAATTGTTTTGTTTTTACCTTTGCGTTGATAAAACTCCTAGCCCTCTGTGTTTGCTTCCTGGAGTCTAGTCTTTCTTTGCCCTGTTCTTCTAATCTTGCAGCTTTCCTCTCTGCTAGCTTCTTCTCCAACTCAAGCACTTTGTCATCCCTCACTTCAGGTTTTGTCTGTCGTGTCTTTTTCTTTATCTCTAGCCTAAGAAGAATTATAATTTATAAATGGATACAACATTATACAATATTCCATTTATCATTTTGATAATTGCTCGATGTAATCCCATAAAACTTAAATAGAAGCAGAAAACAGAAGATGAAGAAATTCTTTTTACATTAGGTACTTTATTAACACTTCACCAAAATGTCAACACCGGCTGCTGAAAACTAAATGTTTCATAAAATATTTAAAGAAGCAGCATGTACCAATTACATTCTGGATAAATTCCCATGACAGTAATAATAATTATTCTCAAAAAGTTCACTTTTCTTTGAATAAAAAGGTGGAGCAGGTGTGCATGAAATGCACCACTGAGACAAATTAACAGTTTTAATGCATAAAACGATGTCTTATAATGGCAAAGAGATGCCACAGAATCAGAAGGTCTGTATACAAGTATCCCATGTGGAATAGTTATTGGCTGACAATATGTTGTCTGACTACTTGGTAACTGGTTTTACTATTCAGGGTGCACTCAAGTGCCAGGGATATTAATGCTGTGGGAATAAAAGAGTTTGATTAATTTTTTTTTAGCTCTTTAGGCTATTGAGCCTTTCATAAATATCATTACAATAACTCATGCACATGCAGGGTTGGGTTATTTGTATCTGGTGCTGGACTCTGATGCAACCCTAATGAAAGGAAATACTAATAACAAAAACAAGTGTTAAGTAAGGAACCTTATGCTTTAGTAAAAAAACTATTTTTGTTATCAGTGCATTCTATGTTGTTGGACCCTGCTCCATTCAATTAATCTGGGACTACTTAATATTGTGTAAAAATTGGTGTGCTCTCCAGTTGTTCTAGTATTTAAAAGGGATGAGCTAACATTCTAGCTGGTGCAAAAGATAAAACCCTCAATTTATACATATTATGAGGGCATATCTTCATATTCATGTCTTTGAACCATTTCATAGCATTTTGAAGAAGTAAAAATAGTTTTAGAAAAAAAAAAAAAACATTTTTCTTAGTATGTTTTTTTTATTCTTGGTCCTTATTCATTTTCTCATTCCAACATTTTTTACACTGGAAAAACAATGTTTGTTGCTTCTCCATTTCAAATAATTTTCTCAACAATTTATTCATCTATTTACTTTACTGTGACCATTTTACACATTTTTAAGACACCCATTCAAAAAAACACTTACCAATCATTTAACAATTTTCCAATGGACAACTCAGCATTCTGGGATCTGTTCACAAAAAGTCTAATTTTTAGGCTGATCTAAAACTTCTAGACATGATTAGTCAACAAGGTAAATTTTGCAATACTGGAAACCAGGAGCATTTTATGAATGACTAGACCGCAATCAGTGTAGCTGACACACACATGTACTTTATGTGCTACTGTACCACAGGGACTTATTAAATCTTTTGTCATGCTAACTGCAATTTGCTCTGGGGGCTTAATTAAGAGACTGAAAAAGGAGGAAAATGGGCCTTTTTTTATTGGGGGGGGGGGGGGG